TGGTTGACAGCACTGAACAGAATATTAAAAAATATTAAAAATGGTTGTTGATATTCTTACCTTGAAGGTAGAGGGGTAGAAATAAAACAGCCAGGCAACTGAAATGCACCCCTAAAACTCTGTGGACCATGGTGCCATGACTCTCATATCCAATGCATTGACCAAGATGTAAAAAAGCACAATAACCGTCTCCAAAATAAGAATAAAAAAATATATAGAGAAATATTCAATAAATATTATGTGACCTCTCTGAGCTTATGATTACTGCCGAAGTCCACAAGCTCAATGAGAGAAAGAGGCAACTGAGTCTTTCTAAACTGATTTGGCTTGAATAATTCACAAACCTCTGTGTACAAGAATACAGTGGAGTGGAGTAGAAAGGTTTAGGATGACACAATGATAGCTGTGTCTCATATATTATTGAAGGTGGCGGGATGGATGGCCGTTCTTGCATTCCATCACCCATAGTGAGAAAGAAAAAACTTCTGATACATGCTGAGTTCCAACACAATGATTTATTCTCTTATATAAATAAAAAACATGTGCTAATAATAAATAACAGTCTTATAGCACTAACGAATTCAGTAAGTTGTTTCAGTAAGACATCTTTTTCATCAATCTGGATTTGGTTACTATCCACGCAATCCATGTCTAACTACCAAAATGTTTTAATGCACACTGCATATAAATGTAGGTTGTGGCAAATGTGCAATTAAAAAATTTGGATTCCAGGGTTAGTTAGCCAGGTTCACAGCCTGAGGAGATGCACTTTAATCACAGATCCTGGCTCTTCTCTGAGCTCATCCCTCTCTGGGTTTGAGGTCAGAATTATACTAGTGTGTGTGTGTGTTTCCATCCATGACAGCTCAGCCAAGCAGAGGAAACAGAGTGCTCCCTACATTCATTCATGAGTTTCTCATGTTACACTTGCATAAACACACCAGGTAGGACAGTTAAGAATGCAAGGGTGCACACCCATATACTGTACACAGATGCCAATGAAAATGATTATATGATAGATATGACATGACCATTGTGTATGCATACAAATCTGTATTTTTGTTGAACATTTGTGAACATTTGTTTGAATGCCATGCATTAGATTAGTGTGATTTTTGTGGCTGTAGTAGGCAGTTCCCCTCAGAGTAACCACAGATAGCAGTTCATCACATTAATCATGAACATGCTCCACTAACGTTTCACTATCTCAGTGTCTAAAATAGTATGGATATTATAGTTTTAAACATGAGATCTATTGTTTTATTCATTTAAATCTATCCATTTAAAACCCTTTTGTTTATGTGTGTGTTGTATTTCTTTAAATTAACCTATAATTGATTTGATATTTTGTTATCTAATGCAATGACATTCAAAAGTTTTCATCTTTGAGGTTCTGATACAAGTTTTATAGAAGTTTTATCGGTCTGAGCACAAGAAGTTTACAGCTGCTTCACTGCTCACACACTCATACAAATAGTTCATAATCTGATTTCTGTCATGACAACTCTCGGAGGGATTGGCATGGTAATGTACATGACAATGTTAATGTATTTGGTCTTGGCAGAATAGATCTGCTACGCTGCTGCTGCGGCAGAGCAAGTACCGAGACTTGCTACTGCCAATACATCCACAACATGCTGCTGTGAGCATGTAAGAAATACTGCTGCTGCACATATAACACATATGAATAACCCCCATATAGCATACATGAAGCACTCCGTAGCAGATCTATAAAGTTGGAGCTGGGGAAGGTGGAGGGTTTCTGAAGTGTGCTGCCAACTGCTACAGCAAACAAAAGCCAGGTATTTGAATATTGAGCAGCGAGCTCATTGGCTACAGGAGAACAGGAGAGAACCAATCAGCTGCCGTGTGACAATGATGTCACCAGGTCAGATTGAGCTAGACCTATCGGACTGTGCCATCTAGAGTTTCATGCTAGAACTCTGTATTTATGTGATTAGCGCAAATCAGTTCTGTAACCAGACAAACCAGCTGTGATCTGTGATGTTATGTTCACACCAGATGGCATACAGTATGTCATGTATATTAAATGCAATCTATAAATAGGTTTAATCAGATTACTATTTCATTATAAATATTGTGTAATCATCACAATCACTTCCTTATAACGTTTTGTATCGCATTGCATCATCATATCCTGCAAAACTGCAAGAAGAATATTCAAACTTATCAGTTATAATCAGACATACTAAACCTAAAAAAAAAATATTGAAGCCAATGTTTATTTATATATTTATGTATTTATTAGTAGAAAAAAATAACCAAAAAATCACAAGTGGTTAAAATAATTAAATATTACATCATTAACAGCTTATTCAATACCATATGGTCACTGTAACAACACACAAATACATAAAATGTAATCCATCACATTTTTGCACACTTTCTTGTGCTCTATACACTATATAAATGCAACTTACATGGTGATTAGAATTGCAGTGCATGGATGAACTTTGTACCATTGTGCATGAATGTCACAAAGCATAATGTAAACAATAATAAAGGACAATTGACCAAAGAGATTCACAGTTCTACATAAATACTTCCTGGAATTTGCTGGTGTGCATGTAAAAAAAAAAAAAAAACCTCTCACATATATATACAGCATATATAGTTTAAAGATGCAAAGAAATATGAATAATGATTATTTTGTGAAGTATTGGTCAGATCATGTGATTGTTGCAAGTTTCACTAATTACAAAAGCAGCAAAAAGACCCATTTTAATAAAACACAATTAAATACAGTAGTAAATATTATAAAACATTTTTTACATATGTTTATTTATTTTTTATTTTTTTAAATAAGATTTTAAAAATACATTAATTTAATTATTTAATTATTTTAATTACATTTAACATTTTTCAAGAATTTAGCTGGGGAAATATATTTTTACTGCTACAATGTTATTGTCGCAAGTTTACTATTACGAAAGCAGCAAAAAGACCTGTTCACAAATACAGTGGAAATCCCAAATGACATAAAACATTGGAGTGATGCATAATTGTACAGAATACAATAAACAATATGGGTCTATTGTAAATGGGGTGTACGGACCACCGACCTACTTTAAGACAATGAGAATCAGATTTATTCTGTACATTGATCCCGAATCTACTCTGCTTTAATCTGTAATTGTTTGCAGATTTATTCTAAGCAATATTATTATCAAAAATTGAAAATATTCATGCAAATCCAATTATGCTTGGAGAATAATATATATTTTTAAAAGATCTATTCAGAAAGAACACAATAAAAAAAGTAGCTACACAATGACCAGAGCAATTGAAGACAGAAAAGAGACAAGAGGTCACAAATGTATTTATACATACTGCTCTTTAGGGAAGGTGTATGAAGAGACGGGGCCGGGGGGTGTGGGGTACGTGAATATGGCGGTCTTGTTACCGTGCTGAGTGTAGGGATTTTGGGGCAGAAAGGTCAGAGGAGGTTGAATGGGAGGAGAGTGTTGCTCCAGATAATCCTCTTTGTTACACGCCAAACGGTAACTCACGTAGTCGGCCGTGTTTGGGAGCTCATCATAGAACCTCCCGGGGCTCTGTGGGGACAAAGATACAAGGTCAGATAGAGAGAACGAGAGAATGAGCGCTGTGCATATTTAATGAGCACACTCAGGCACGCGGCTGACACTGTCACCCTGATATTACACATGCTGGTGCAGACACAATAAAGTTTGGACCTTTTTTCCAATTCAGAATACATTAATGTTTCAAAAGTAGCAAAGTTCAAGGAAGTTATACAGAGTTATTGCTAAAACATACTCTGAGATAATTAACTATTAGGACTCAACAGGGAGAACGTTTTCTTCTCCAGTAGGAGGCGCTCTCTGCTCACTATATCAGTGAGGCCAGAGGCAATTCAGGTTTATCATTAAAGCCTCAGTACCTCTATTCAGGTCGGTAGCCAGACCATGGTGCATTAGTGCATCTTATCATCTGATAAAATGGCCCTCACTGGTGTTTCTGTGGCTTTACTGAGTGCTCTCTTACCTGGAAGTCATCAGCTGCCCTCTTTTTAGACGAGGAAGGCTTTTTGTGGGCAGGAGAACAACTATCTCTGCAACAATAGAGAGGGAGAGATAGAGTCTTAACTAAAACAATGCCATAAAACAACTACAGGCTGGTTGCATTTTGTTTTATGTCCCAGAATGTTTAGAAATTTTACTAAAACCACACCATAACATTGAAAAAAATAATGCATTTTACCTATAAGCTTAGTTATATCTAATATGATTATATAATTTTAGCTTTGGCATAATTCATTGTCCAATAACGTAAAAGACTAAAACGAAAATGTTAAAAGTCATAAACAATATTACATGCATATATACATACATTATAACATTGCATTTAACATATATTTTTTAAAAATATTTTTCCTATTATGTGTATAATACTAATAATGTAAAACAATAATATATACATTACATTAAACACACATTTTACATGTTAGTTACATAATATTTATTTATTAACATTAAAAACAAATACATAAACGATACAAAATATAAAAATGAATATTAATAAAACAATAATTATATTATATATAAGCACATATGCATATGTTTTAAATATTAATTAAAATATATATTATTAAATAAATATGATTAAATAATATGAAATAAAAATTTAATATAAAAAATATTACATCCAATGTTTTGCAAAATTTAGCTAGGTCAATAACTGAGGTATAAGAAAATTTGCTTTGTAGACACTTTAGTCATTACTTAGGCCTCAATAAAGAAATCTCAGAATTTTATACATGTATCCTTGCAAATGTAGCATTTTAATGCGTTAAATACTTACGAGTCATTGTCTGACCCTGTGTGTTTGTGCCGCTGTTGTTTTTTGACCAAATATATTGTGCCAGCTATACTGAGGATGATGCCCAGTGCAATCACCCATCCAAGGACACCCATCACCCTCTCTGAGGTGCTCAGTGGCTGGGGTTTCTCTGCTGGAAAAATACATGTTGGGAATCTCCTTGCTAATTCCACCATATACACTACATAACACATCACGTTAACTTACATCACATTTTAATACTCTGTTGTACTTAAGTATTCAAACCTGACATGCCTCTGAAACATGTTTCCTCTCTAACATTAACGAGAATAGCTCTATTGTACGGCCCTAGTCCTATTGTTTTGTGTTGATGAGAAAAAAAACCACACATCCGGCTCACATGACCTTCTTTTCTGCAAACTCATACCAACAAATGGAGCTGCCATGGAAGGGATTCATGGGAGATTTCCCTTAGGTCTCTGTGTACATAAAACAACAATGATGTAAATGCCAACTAGGGGATTTGGATTTGTTGTGGGGTGCTCTAATGGCTGTAAAAGAGATGTTAATGGCATAATGTGTCCACTCGAAACAGACAATACCCAACCTCAAATAAGTGACTGACACCACAAAGAATGTCCTGATCAGATGACCCCAAACGAACCACTTGAATTGCTCTGCTTGGAAAATTGTGCTTGTTCATTTATTGATTCTGATATATCATAAGCAAAACATTATTCATAATCAGACAAAGAAAACTTTAAATTTTATCTTGCCTATCTTAACTGACTTGATATATACATTTTTATTTATTTCAGCAGAGAATTCACAAGACTTATTAACACTTGTGCTTTCACAATAAATACAAATAACAGGAGAACAGCAAACACAAACACTGTATATCTGAATATGTTGGTCTTGGCAGCATAATCAAGTTTAACACAAAGGAAACAAAAACACATCAAGTGTTTCCTGAATAAATTAAGCAACGTTAACAAAATTATGTGTTTTACAAACTATACTGAACCAACAGGGCATTTTCTATCATTATTGTGAAAATGACCTTTTTGCTGCTTTCTAGAAGAGATTTACAAATGAAGAAACTCATAAATCTTTCCAATTAGCATAAAACACAATGTATTACAAATTTTACAGCAAATCATATGGAAGTACATTAGCTGAACACCACCTGCAAAAGACCAATATAACATTCAACCAGTTTGTTCCTCAGTGTCACTAAAATGAAATTATTTAGCATTTTTTAAAAGCACTTATATAGTAGCCTACAATGTTCCTATATCATCTTAAATAACTTCAAATATCAAACATGAACTCATATTGTAGATTGCAGCCACTCAGACATGCAGTAAAATCACTGACTCTTGAAAGCTACAGTCACTGATTATTTGCGTGATTATCTATGTTCATATTCTTTACAGGTGGTATTTGACTACTGCAGTGCAGGGAAGTACAGTTTATTGTACTGTATTATGAAACCTGTGATTAAAGCAGCCAGAAATTCTGTTTCAATAAAAAAAACACAATATCTGACAAAACAAGGCAATGTTTCCATGAATCATGCACAAAAATATGCACACAGTGTAAGACTTTCACAGTTTATAGGTTATAGTGAAGTTTCAACTGCTCTCAAGTAAACACTATCCCGAGGCAAAAATTCTTTCTCAATACAACGGCACTGTCAAGACATGTATTCTCTTCCAAACAAACGCCTAGATTATGTTAGAGATATTTGGCTACCTCTGTTCCAAAACCTAGTGAGCCAACATCCCAAAACGTAATGGAAAATAACTGATTTAGGACACCAACCTATGTAGAAACTCGGTGTGCCATGTAAATAGTGCTAGAGAACACAAATCACAATCGATTTCAATAAAGTTTGAAGTTAGCATGTTGCTAAGCAAACAGCACAATAGTCTATATGCATAAACACTCAGCACAGAACACAACACACAACTGATGTCAATATAGTTTGAAGTTAGCATGTTGCTAAGGTAACAGCACTGGTACAAAATTACTGAACAATACAACAGTGACCAATTTGGGATGCCAACACATGTAGAAGTGTGTCACAGCAGGGGAGAACGCAATTCACAACTGATTCCAATACAGTTTGAAGTTAGCATATTGCTAAGCTAACAGCACTGTTACAAAACCTAGTGAGCCAACATCCCAAAACGTAATGGAAAATAACTGATTTAGAACACCAACCTATGTAGAATTAGTAATTAGTACTTTGTACTGAAGAACACAAATCACAATCAACTTAATCGACTAGAGTTTGAAGTTAGCCTGTTGCTAAGCTCTCAGCACAATACTCCATTGGCATAAACATAAACAAATATTTGGTAAAATTAATGTAATGTAATGTAATTAATTACATTGAAAGATGTACATCACTACTTTTAAGAAATACAACTTAGAATTGCATAATAAAACTTAAATGACACTATCTTAGATTTGTTTTTTTCCCTCTGAGCTTGCTGCAGTGTATTATGGGACAGTCTTCTATGTGAGAGATTGAAATGCTGATTTAGAATTTGGCTAAAATTAGGCATTTCAAGAGGCAGCATAATTATGCAAATAACTATGCATAATTCGATGGATGCCGTAAACAGCTCGCTAGATTTTGAAACAGAGACATTTTATCAGGCAAAGTCATTGGTCAATCTCCAAACATCCATCATCAGTTTGGATTTTCATGTCAACAATGTCCTCTAGGTGAATCGAATCCATTGTCAGTTTGGATCCCAAAGCCTGCTTCAACAGGAAGGAGATGGCAAGGAACGAGAAGATAGTGGAAAAGGACCATGCTGAGAAGCTCAAAGTCTTGAGTTCTACACATACCACTCTTCTTTAGAGATGACAGAGCCGTCCATCTGAGGAATCATGTCCACTGAGACCTCCACCTCAGATCCATAATCATAAATGTAAGTCTGCTCGCTACGTTCGCATCTCTCATGGTCCTCGATCAGTCCTGTGTGGTAGGCCTTCATCCCGCTGTCATGGCAGCTGTGGAACTCCTGAATGCTTCTTCCTAAGATACTGGAGCCTCTGTACATTTCCAGCTTCTTCTCTTCATCTGAGTCTTCGGAGAAGGTCAGACTGTGAGGTAGCGAGGGGTGTGATGGCGCACTGCCAGCCTTGCTGTAACCATTTCCAAGGATTTGCTTCTTGGTACTGTAATCTCCTTTAAACATGCATCTCCGGCGATAGCAAAACACTACCAGGAGCGTAATGGTGGCCAACAGCACTGTGCCACAAACAACAGCTCCACCAATGATGGCACCTGCTTGCTGTGGCTCCTGAGACACCTCGTGTGGGTGGCTAGGGAATTCTGGGTAAGGAAAGAGATCACCCCCATTAAGTATAACAATATGGGGTTGTTAAAGAACTTGTGAACAGTTTTCTTTCCTGTGTTGGCATATTTCCTTTTGAAACAGGAAGTGAGGTATGGGAACATATCAAAGGGCTTGTATCTTTTTTATACAGCCCATAGGCTGTTACACTACCATTCAAAAGTTAAGGGATGGAAGTTTTTTTTATTTTTTGTAATATTAAAAAAAAATATATATATATATATATTTTTCCCATTTAGGATGTGGTTTGTAGCCCTGATGCAAATGAACCTGGGGTTTATTGTAGCTGCTAGTGCCTGCTTAAAAAAAATAGATGCAAACCATAATCTCAATATTGATTCAGCATCTTTTTTTTTAAAGTTTATTTGTACAGCGCTTTTCACGATACAAATCGTTGCAAAGCAACTTTACAGCAAATTAAGTTTCTACA